CACAACAATGCTGATATTCTGTGAACCAAGATTTCAATAGAGATAAATTTATTTCTAATTGGTTTCTTATTAGTGTAATGTATTTGGTATAGCTTTCTACATTCATGACCGCGCTGCGCCCCTGAAGCAGCCAGCAGATCCAGCTCCTAGAGCGGGTAGCCACAGGGCTCCGCGTGCTGCCCCTGCCCCAAGCACCAGCTCCACACTCCCATTGGCCGGGAAACTCGGCCAATGGAAGCTGGGGGGGGGGGCAGTGCCTGCAGGCAAGAGCAGCGCACGGAGTCTCCTGGTCCTACCACCTAGGAGCTGGACCTGCTGCTGGCCGCTTCCAGGGCACAGCGTGGAGCCAGGACAGGCAGGAAACCTGCTTTAACCCTGCAGCACTGCTGACTGGAAGCCAGCCGATGTAAACCAGTGTCCCAACCCCGTATCCCAACCCTGAGCCGCCCTAACCCATAGCCCCCTCCTGCACCTCAAATCCCTCATCCCTGACCCCACCCCAGAGCCCACACCCCCCAGCCGGAGCCCTCACCTCCTCTCGCATCCCAACCCACTGTCTCAGCCTGGAGCCCCCTCCCGCACTCTGAACTCCTCATTTATGGCTCCACTCCAGAGCCCGCACCCTCAGCCAGATCCCTCACCTCCTCCCATACCCCAGCCCCGAGCCAGTCCAGTGAAAATGAGCGAGTGAGGGTGGGGAGAGTGAGTGACAGAGGGAGGGGGGAATGGAGTGAGCAGGGGGTGGGACCTCAAAGCAGGGGCGGGGCACAGGTGGGGCCTCGGAGGGGGAGCAGGACAAGGGTGTTCGGTTTTGTGCAGTAGAAAGTTGGCAACGCTAGCTGTAAGTGGTGGTTTGTCACTGTCCCAGCGCCACATGCCTGTGGTCCATGACTGTTCATAGCACTGCACCTGTTTTGTACATGGTGGCCTTGGGCCCATTGCTCTTCATGGCAATGCGCCTAGGGTTGTCAACTTTCTAATCGCACAAAGCCGAACACCCTAGCACTGCCCCTTCCCCAAAGCCCTGCCCCCGCTCACTACATTCCCCTCCCTCAGTGGCTCACTATCCCCCACCCTCGCTTTCACTGGGCTGGGGCAGGGGATTAGGGTGCAGGTGCTGATTTTTCAGTGTTTGTAGTTGATAATACAGCAACAATTACAAAGTAGGGCACAGAATCTCTGTGCATTAAATTAAGAATTTTTAAAATAGTGGTTCATTTGAATTTGCACTCTTCATTTGTATCTGATCTAGATTTTAAGTGGGGACTAAGTTTTCCTTTATAGATGTATGGGATCGAGGCAACAGACAGCATCAACAAAAATCATAATATGCCAGTAGTGGGCATAGAAACTTAAAATCAGTGGGATTATAGATTTTAGGAACCAGAGATGTAGAAGTTCTTATAGGATCAGGATCTACAACATGTGTGACACATAGAACCATGCAGGCTTGAGAAATCACAGGGATACTACTTAGGAAATCCAAGTAGGAAGGTAGGAGCAGAAGGAAAAGGAGAGTACATGGTGGATAGAGAGGAGATAGTCAGTCTAAGCTTAAGGATAGCCTAAGACAAATATTAACCCCCCCACACACACACAAAAAATCAAATAGCTGTAGGTCAGTATTTCCTACAACTTTTTGTTATTACATTTATCCAAATGGGGGGGTGGGGTTAAATATAAACATTCCAGTAATAAAAAAGTGGAAAAGATAAATGAGTTTAAAACTCAGAAAAGCCAGAAGAACAAAAACAGCCTTACATATACAAATTATATTAGTATAATTAAGTAATTCTCCTTATTTATTTTTACAAATACCTAAGCTTATAGAAATTGAAAGAATTTTTAAAATCAAATTTATCTTTTAGCATTAAAGTTTTTAATTTACATTTTTTTCCCAAAACAGATGAGTGGAAATGACTAACCTTTGATTTTATAACTTATTTCTAGTCAGTTTCAAGTTCTTTTGCAATAACTGAATGGTGTTAAATATGGGTTACAAATATTGCAAGTGAAAATTTATTTTTAAAATAAAAGTGTTTGCAGCAGGATTTTTTAAAACAGTACAGAAACATTTCCATTAATTTAGTTGCCACTGCCATTTTTTTAAAACACATGCACACACCCAAAACCTTTGAGTCACATTTGAGCTGACTGTGTACATTTTAGTGTTTTTCTGACATGTAAAACAAGGACTTTAGCTAAAGCCAATAATATGGTCAAGTCACATGGGTAATAACTGTAGAACCATGCATAGTAAACACATGACTTGTTCTTCAGTCTTGATAAGATTTTTTTTTTTTTAACAACCCTGGTCACATAGGGTAAGCAGAAGTTGATATCAGAAGGCCAGCGTACTGACATTTAAATTATCTGTCACTGTAAAGCAAAGCTTAATTTTTGTGTTCCCTGAGTAGCTGGAGCTGGAGATACTTAATGTTAATAAATATAAACTTTTATTCATGCTGCAGTATGACCATTAATCTACCCATTTCACATTACAGTGCAGTTACTTTGTTATTTAAGTTATTCTGGCAGCATTATAATTTGTTTTGATGACTACTAGAGTGCATTCTTATTTAGGAACATCCTGTAATATTGTGAGAAACAGTCAGTCAACTTTCTTTGTAATTCACAACAATGCTGATATTCTGTGAACCAAGATTTCAATAGAGATAAATTTATTTCTAATTGGTTTCTTATTAGTGTAATGTATTTGGTATAGCTTTCTACATTCATGACAAGTTACTGACAAATAGCTTACTTGAGTACAGAAGCCTGCTATCCATTGTGATGGGGCAAGGCCAGATGGCTACAGTAAAGTCGTGAGGAACAGGTATGTTAGCCCCAGGCTAAACAAATCCCTGGTACCATGGTAACCAAATGGCAGTTGCTCCAGGTTAATCAAGACACCTGGGTCCAATTAAGATCCTTCTAGAAAGCAGGAGAGACAGCTAGATTGATTGGGACACCTGAAGCCAATTAAGGACTGGCTGGAGCTAGTTAAAAGCCTCCCAGTTAGTCAGTGTGGTGTGGGTGCCAGGAGCTATAGGAGGGAATGGTGTTGTTGTTGTTGGAGGAGGAATGAAGTAGTATGATACCATATCATGTGCAAGGAAGGAGGCCCTGAGGTAATTGTGAAGAAGATATTGAGTGGGGGCTGCTGTGGGGAAGTAGCCCATTGAATTGTATGTGCCCTATTTCCAAAAAGTCAGCTTTCATAGCTGCTAAGTTTAGGGTCCCTGGGCTGGAACCTGGAGTAGAGGTTGGGCCTGGGCTCCTCTTCCCCCCCCCCCCCGACTTAATCACTGATACTGGGAGACAACAGAGACTGTGTGAGGGAGGGCTAGCAAAAATCTGTCAGGAAATGCAGGACCCACGGAGTCAAGGACAGAACTTTGTCACACCATGCAGACATCACTTTTAGTAGTGACACAGAAGACAGACTAATTCAGGGTGTGGGGTGTTGTGTGTGTGTGTGTATTTTTTGTTCTGTAACAGTTGTTTCATGGGTCAGATTTTTTTTCCTGAGTTGTGCATTTAAAATCTAATAGTATATAACGTATAAACACAGTACAGCCATAATAAAGACCTAAATCACATGCTTAGTTCTGCAGTGATATAACAGCCTTTCAAAATAGCTATAAAAATGTATAAGCTCAAACACAAAATGTACTCTGCTGCCTTTTGACTATGATTGATCATGAAATGCTAATGATGTTTTACTAATTTTAGGTGAGTGGGCAAGAGGAATTTGTCCAGAATAATATAAAAATGCTGTGGAAACAGACATACACTGTTTAAGGGCCTGCAAATCCAATCTAGGTCGGTGGACTCCCATTGAAGTCAATAGGACACTGCACAGGTGCAAGAGTCTGCCTGCCTGATTCTGATTGCAGGATCAGGGCCTAAGTAATTAATTTTGCAGCAACTAGAAGACTGAGTGAAATCCTGGCTGCATTGAAATCAGTGGCAAAATACTCTAAAGTCTATGTATAGATTGCTGGATGACATAATTTTGAAGACTTTAAACCATGGCACGAAAACTTTGGGTTCGTCTTGCCACACTCCAGGAGCATCGGACCCCAACTGTCAGAGCGCGGCTCCCCTCTGCGACCAATCTGGCTGGCCACTAGATTGATCCAGACTCTGGATTGGTAACTATAAACATCAACTGGCGGAGTGTGTGTGTGTGTGTGTGTGTGTGTGTGTGTGTGTGTGTGTGTGTGT